CGCACGGCGTGCGTGGCGTATGCAGGTGACGTGTTGCGTACGTTGCCGCGCTCAGCACTAGTGAGTGACGCAGCGCCATCTGCTGGATGTGTCCGAGTTTGAGTTTGGGGTAATAGCACAGTGGTGTGCCGAGGGGAAAAAGAGTCTCAATTTAGCCGAGATTATTGGCAAAGGCGAATAAGATATTACTTTAATTTACACTTTTTGCTAATAGCACCTAATACTAAATGGTTAACGGCTAAATGGTGCTGAATATTGGGATCATATCACCTAGTCCTATTATGCAAACTAAGCAAATAGCATCTATTTTCTACCTCACTGAGTTCAAATTGTATCTGTCTTTTATTACAGCAGCTGCTGCCGCTAAAGCTTAATGGATTTTACCACGTAAAGCACTCATAATATGTGAGGATATGCATAGATATTTCTAAATGTGTAAGCGAGTCTCTATAGTGACAGGGAAGTATAAAATAAAAACTAAATTATGTGGCTAGCAAAGTTAAATTATTCATGAACATGAAATGAATTAAACATCAGTCTACAAAACTACAGAAACCTCAAAGCTGAGCTTATAACCTACATAAACTTATCGGTAACACTGATACATAACAAGTTAATGTTGACTACTATAGTTTTAGATAAAAGGCAAAAAATGCTTAGTTGAAAAGTTTATGAACATTGAAATAAGTTAACAGAAACAAGTGTCACAGTACTAAAAAAAAAAAATGCACTAGAAATATTTTTAAAATGACAAACATAGCATTACTAAAACTTACATTAGAATGAACTGAAAATATATATAAGTTAACAGAAACAAGTGTCACAGTACTAAAAAAAAAAAATGTACTAGAAATATTTTTAAAATGACAAACATAGCATTACTAAAACTTACATTAGAATGAACTGAAAATATATAAAAAAAAAGGCTATTCAGAATATTACTATAATAAAATGTACTACAATATTTATAAGTATATAAGTTAATAAACACTTAGTATATATCTGCTGGTCATTTGAATCAGGTGTTAAAAGGGGCCATCCAAAATATGAAATGTTGAGGGATATATAAGAGCAGGATGCTTGTGCAAAGTGACTTGCAGACTAAATCAACCGTAAAAACAAACAGATTTAAAGAACAGACTTTTTTATTTTCCACAAACAATACAGAGGCGGCATATTGTTAAAACAGTTCTAGAACTTCTGGAACTGCTTCTTGGCTCCAGCTGCCTTGGTGACCTTCAGGACGTTGAACCTCACTGTCTTGCTGAGGGGTCGGCATTCTCCTACTGTAACGATGTCGCCTACGGTCACGTCCCTAAACAAATGGATAACATTATTAGTGATATTCAAGAAGAAAAATATTCAGTGATCAAAACTTATACACAATATCTCCCAAACTAAACTACTTATAATCCCAAACACCTTGAGGGCAAAGAAACATTTTAAGCATTATCTGCTGCATCAGTGATGCCATACGGCAGTGTCGTCAGAGCCTGACAGACTTGGAAGACCATCGTGAGAAAAAACATCATTTGCAGCTCACCGCCCATTTAAAGCATGTGTTCAAATCCACAAAAAGGGTCTAACAAAATTGTTCAGTCCCTAAAAGAAACCACCAATGGAGAAACTTTACCTGAAGCATGGGGAGAGGTGGACAGACATGTTCTTATGCCTCTTCTCAAAACGGTTGTACTTGCGGATGTAATGCAAGTAGTCCCGTCTGATGACGATGGTCCTCTGCATCTTCATCTTGGTTACCACACCTGGAAAAAGGTGACAGCCAAATAAGTTCACATACATTGTATATCAATAGCCAGCATACAAAATCTTCGATTTCCAATAAGGATTAAGATACAGCAAAATTAGATATAGGGAAGCATCAGTAAAGCCATTAGGCATTATCCTCAAAACCCAAAGGGTTCAGAAGACCATCGTGAGATAAAACATCATCTGCACCCCAGATAACACTACAATTAGCCAGCAAACTACATAGACTTACCGGACAGAATCCGGCCTCTGATGGACACGTTTCCAGTGAAGGGGCATTTCTTATCAATGTAAGTGCCAGCAATAGCCTGTGGAATGAAGCACAAGAGCTTTAGTCATCTGAACTCAAATGAGGTTGCACAATGGTAGCATAATCAACTGCATCAGTCAGCATTGCCAAAGGCAGTATCCTCAGAGCTCTCTTGGAGTCTAGGAAGACCATCGTGAGAAAAGACATCATCTGCGAAGTAAAGTTATACTTGCGTGTAAACACAAGCTCACCTCTCTGGGGGTTTTGAAGCCCAAGCCAACGTTTCTGTGATAACGTGGGAGCTTCTCTTTGCCACTTCCTTCAACAGCCAGAACCCGCTTCTTGTTCTGGAAGATGGTGGGCTGCTTCTGATAAGCCCTCTCGTTCTGAAACAACACCACAAGCACAGAGTCAGTCATATTCCTGACAAATTAATGCATGTGCTGGAGTAACATTTCTATAGTTACAGAACACAAGTCTGATTAAGGTTTCCATTGGACATCTTGGACTATTAGTATATCCTCACCTACACCAAACCTGAAGAACTTTCGAAGCCAAGTCTTTTCCAAATTAAAAAGCTATTTCAAAACATTCCAGGGATTGTATGCTGCATCAGTAATGCCATACGGCAGCGTCGTCAGAGCCTGACAGACTTGGAAGACCATCGTGAGAAAAAACATCATTTGCAGCTCACCGCCCATTAAGGGCACGTGTAGAAATCCACAATAAGGCTCTACAAATGTTACAGAGATAACTACATAGACGGCATCTTTAGAGCTCTTTTTAGAGGAAGACTATTCTTTCTGGATGACATCCATGTGCTATCCATGCCTTGCAGACAAATTCGGCTATTTTACCACTCAATAAGACAGATTCAGCAGATAAAATACAGCTATTCTATTTATATCACAACTATAAGCCAAATAAACAGTTGCATGTTTAAATAAAATCACTTTCTGCTGGTCGGATAAGGCAAGGCCGCTCGCCTTCCCGTTCATCAACGCTTCCTACCCGTTAACCGGAGACGGAAAACACATATTCGAGTCTCCAGTGTGATCCATTTCGCCATGATTGCATCCATGGTGGTTTCTTTGCCGCTTATCTACCAGAATTTGTGGCTTTGAGCTTAAGTTTAACGTGAAACCAAACGGGTTTTCACGACCACGCCGTTCAGACTCGCATACCTGTATGTCCGCCATCTTCTCCAGCCGAGTCGTAAAGAGGACTACACATGCGCGAGACAGACGGAAGAGCGGTTTCCGCGGACGTGACGACACACTGTGGGTGTTTATTATGTCTATGGTTTGTCCCAGTAGCCCCGGTTTGTCAGGCCTGGGATACAGCAAAAACAGGAAGCTAACAATAAATTTAATTTTCTACCTATTACATTGTGTTTTATTAACGTCTACACCTACCCCAACCCTAAACCTACCCCTTACAATAATGCAAAAATAGTCATTATTGTTTTACAGTGTGAGAAAAAGTACGCTATATTGATGTGCGCATGCCCAGTAGTTTTTGCTGTATGCCTAAAGGTTCTAGCCTTAACCGTTATCCGTGGTTATTTGATTATTTACATTTAAACAACTTTAAAATCGCTGTAACGACACTGTGTGGATCGTGTAGTTGGTTACCGTCTAATTTCAGTGTTGAGAAGGTATTGAATTCTGTAATCTCTCATATTTCTTTACCAGTGTTGGTATAAGTAACTAGTTACATGTAATCAATCAACGTTACGTAATTTAATTACAAAATAAATGTAATTGTAATCAGTCACAGTTACTGAGATAAAATTACAGTTACTTATGAAAATGTTAAGGATTACAAAGGGGGTTAACGTTACATTTGAATTTTTCACACACACCCACATACAAATGTATTTGATTTCTTTCATGAATTGTATTGACTGTTCTAAAATACGAGACACCAATGTTTCAGGAGTTTAGGACACAGAATCGGACACATGCTTATTCGATAATTGTTTTATTTCCTATTTGGGTTTATGTATATGCAGAGAGAGAATTTCAAAAACAGTATCATCATAGCTACTAAACTATTTCTTGTTATGATTTTAAATCTGTATTTAACCTCAGAATGATCTGAAAGTAAGTCTGATTTTGTGGTGGCTGTGCTTTAAAATTAAATTGATGAAGGATTTCGAAAGTGACAGTAATCAGTGTTGAGTACTACTGTAAGGTTAACCCTGCCTGGTTTACATGTCTGAAAATGATTAACAGTTGAAAACATTAGAAATGTAGAAAAGTAATCAAATGTAATCAGTGACATTACTTTAATAAAATAATTGAAATTACACTACTTTCATTTCAGATAGGGTAACTTGTAATCTGTAACCTATTACATTTCCAAAGTAACCTTCCCAACACTGTCTTTTACCATGATGTAAATAAAAAACAGTTTAGGTTCAAATTTATTATAAATATCATAACCTATGTTTGGGCATAATTTAAATTCATTAAAAGTATGCTCTGAAAGGCTGAAAGAAATATTAAATGTAATCTTCAATGGGATTCTACACAGATAGAGTAAAGATAACCAGTAACATAATTACTTGCTGATAAGTAGCAACAGGAATAAGCAGACTACTAGTATTTGATTAGTAATAATAATAATAACGGAACAGTTTATTGACCCTTTAGACAAATTTTTTTCAATGTAATAAAAAGTTTGTATATGTGTGTGTTTTATGTGATACTTAATGCTTTTATGACTCATATAGTGTGATATAACGAGAATATTGAACTCATACTCGAAGAGGAAAAACACTTCAATTATATTCTGAAGCCCAAACTGAGCAAAATGTGCAATTTGGTGCAGATGCTGTTCTGCTAGCTTGTAACATAATAATGAGATCTTTAAAACATGTCAAGAACGTTTCCTCTAAATCCCTATTATTATTATTATTTGAAGTGTGCCGCATCAGTCCTTCCGGTCCAAAAAGTGACGTCACGCAGCGGAAGAGTTTTCACTTATTTTCATTTCATGCTAATATGGCAGCGCCGTCGGGTGGAGGCGATACGGGTAAGTGCCGCTTTCATGTTCAAATGATGATGTTCGCCTGTTTTCCCGATTCGTAACTCAGATGCCCGACAGAGTACGTAGACCGACGCTTTAACGTGTATTAGAATAGCATTTATCATGTAAACTGGGAGTTTGCTCAGTGCCGTTCGCTGTCACAACACCGCTGTCTGTCTGAAAACATGTCTGTACACATACCGATCACACCGGCGCACAGACCTTGATGATTAACGATAATCGCACGAGCTAAACAAACAAACCACAGTCTTCTTGGGCTGTATCCCAAAGTGAGCCGTCTACCCAAACAACATAATTTTTGTCCATCACGCGCGTTCTAAAAGAATTCATGAGCGTCTTAGGCGCGTTCCAAACGGTCGATGTGTTCAGGACGCGCCTATGATGCGGTCTTGGTAGGCACTGGCAGCCCGCTATTTTTGAGACACAGCCTCTGTACGCTTGTGTTGGCTGTGCTCACATGCCCCGATACCGCGATGTTGTTGATTTCCAGAAGAGGTGACATCATCATTTCAGTGCTGATCTGTTAGGAGGGGGGAGTAAACACTCATCACAGCTATAGCTGGCCATGTACAGGTCTCGAGATGGGTTGCTGTCGATTTAAAGGTATAGTTCACAAAAAAAGGTCACCTTTGTTGCTTAATCATATGTTGTTCCAAACCGGTATCACTGTCTTTGTTATGTGGGACACCAAAAGAGATGTTAGGCAGTGTAACTCAGTCACTATTCACTTTCATTGCATCGTCTTCCATATAATGAACGTGAATGGCCACCAAAGGCTGTCAGTCTGCCTAACATCGCATACAGGTTTAAACTGACATGAAGGTGAGTGAATGATGACAGAATTGTTCATTTTTGGATGAACTTTTTATTTCAAATCCTGCTGCTGTATTAATAAAATAGGCCCTCCATTTGTATTATGGCAGGGGTGTCTGCTCCTGCTCCTGGAGGGTCACTGTCCTGCAGAGTTTAGCTCCGATCCCAGTTACACACACCTGAACCAGCTAATCAAGGTCTTATTAGGCATGTCGGAAACTTCCAGGCAGGTGTGTATCTAGCTTGTGCTCACTGTTGTACACGAAAGCAGCTCCTGGCAGATGACGTAGGACATCAGAGTTGCGCATGCGCCGCTCAGAAGTGACGAACGCGGAAGCGCAGGGGAGAGATCAAAACATTACAACGGTCACGAATTAGAAGTACAAAACGAGGATTTGTAAAGAAGAATGTCAGAGGATTTCGATATAAGCCAAGATGAGACTGGTTTTCCTTTGCTAAAGTAAGGAAACTTTGCTTCCTTTGCTCCTGTTAACAAACATTGGTTTTCATGAGACTCACCGGCGCATGCGCAACGCTGACCTCATACGTCATGCTCCAGGAGCTGCTTCCGTGTACAACAGTGAGCGCAAGCTAGATTAAAGTGATTATTACATTTTGAATATGGATATTTTTCTTACAAAAACGCATCGATTCGCTACAGGAGGCCTTTGTTCACCCCCCGGAGCCGTGTGAGACACTTTTTATTATGGATGGATGCGCTTTATTTCACTTTTTTTGGACTGATGCACTGCAACACCCGCTGAGTGCCATTAAACAGCTTGGAAAGATCAAAGACAAATTTGAATATAACTCCAATTGGATTCATCTGAAAGAAGGAAGTCATATACGCCTAGGATGCCTTGAGGGTGAGTAAATAATGGACTAATTTTCATTTTTGGGTGCACTATCCCTTTAAGTGTAGGTAATATGACTGAAATCTTAATTCATAATGTCAGTCATTTTATTTCACAAATATATACATATGTTGTTACATTTCTGTTGTAATTTAAAATGCTAGTGAAATATCACAATTATTGATACAGGCAATTATTTAAGTAAACAATTAAATAGTAATAAAAAAAGATCAAATAGATAATAAACAATAGGACATATAAATACAATACAACATAGACACTAATGAAATAAAGTGCTTTAATTTTTTAGTAGGTTAGTCTAACTATAGTGTAGAAATTGAATAAAGTATTCAGTAAAAAAGTATTTTTTATTTATTTTTTTATTTTTTCCCCCAAAACTGTTTACATTCACTCAAGACATAACTGGCTGTGTTTACATGAATACTTTCCAAGACAGTAGTTTTGAATTTTGGTGAACACCATCACAGACACAATATTTGTACAGCCTTTACAAAACACATCTATCTATAGAAACGTTTCATGCGCATTTATGACCCTAAATGATAAAAAGTCACAAAATTTCAAGAATATTTCAACTAGTGTTTCATGCAATTTAAATATGTCAAATAAGTAAAATTAGTTAAATACTTAAATAAGACTTAAAATGGATTTAGTTTCCAAGATGCTTGCTTTTTTCTAGGTATCTGTATTCTGTAATGCTCAAAACACTGTCTCGGCTCACTAGTTTTACGACAGCCTGTATGTATTGTGTTCATGTCAAGTGAAGATTTAAATTCTTTTGTTTTATTTGAATATTTAAATTTGTGAACTGATACTTAAAATGAGTTATTTATGATGCGTTTGAGGGATTTAGTCTCTTTCTCCATTAGACAGCTCGTGCATATTAGTTTCTTTACATCAACTTTACTCACCAGGAAACTGAAACCAAATGTGTGCTGAATTATACATACACTGCTGAGTCATGTCACAAACAATATGGAATGATTCCACTGTCAGATGCTTATCGGTTCCCTTTTAAGGTCACAATGGTGTTATTAGACCTGTGTATTGACATTTGTACTTTAGTTTTTTATGCAGAATACATTTTAAATCCATTTTGTTTACTCTAAGTGTCTTTCCTCCTGATTTTGTATTGTTTTTAATTATTATTATTATTATTTCCAATATTTGAAGGCATTGGCAATGACCAGATAATTGCCTTGGGAGCTGCACTTCTCAATAAGTGAGTATCATCTTATCTCTTCTTCACATGTTCTCTGTGTTTGTTTGTTTTTGTTCATTACCTCGGTCATCTCGTCCCATCTCTCACAGCTTCGTCTATGAACGAGTTCGTCGCCATGGAGACAGTGAAGCTGAATTAACCCGAAGTCAGCTGGGTGGTGTTGAGCTGTGCGACCCCAGCCATAAACGTCTTGCACAGTGTTTGCAGCAGATTGGAGATGAACTGGATGGAAATGTGCAGCTGCAAAGGTAATGGATTGCAGAAGACATCTCAACTGTCTCTATGTACAGAGTCTCCTGCTGTGCTCAGAAATGCTCACTGGATGGCAGTGTGCTGCAACTTATCCATACCTCTCCATTGTCATTTTGATCTAGTATGTTAAATAACTCCACTCTTCAACCAACTCAAGAAGTCTTCATGAAAGTGGCCCGTGAGATCTTCTCTGATGGGAAGTTCAACTGGGGCAGAGTGGTGGCGCTTTTCTACTTTGCGTGTCGGCTTGTCATCAAGGTGAAGACCTAAATAAGCTCAATCTCATATCGAAATGCATTGTTTTGATGTTTTAAAGGGGTCATATGATGCTATTTTAAAGATCATTATTTTGTGTATTTGGTGTAACAGAATATGTTGACATGCTTTAATGTTCAAAAAACACATTATTTTTCAAATACTGTACATTATTGTAGGTCCTCTATGCCCC